TCATACTCCAGTGTGTACGCATTCAGGAGCAGTGAACGCATTCATACTCCAGTGTGTACGCATTCAGCAGCGGTGAACGCATTCACACAACTGTGTGAACGCATTAAGGAACTGACATTTTTATACGTGCATGTAGACTAGATGCACCTCCCTTTTGGTGAAACACAAAAAGCTCGTTTAGCTTCAGTTTGGAAGAATTAAATCAAATGATATTTTATTAAATCCAGCAAATGGCCTAATCTCAAACGCAGACGCCCTTATTGTATGCTACAAAAAGCAAAATGTCGCAAGCCTTCAACTTAGTAAAACGTTATTCCTGGGACTTATTAAATAGCGAGTTAATTTAAATTTCTTGTGATTCACGTGACAGTGACTTATTACACTTACTTCACTTTCCTGGATTGCGAGACTACGCGATTGCGGACTGTGCCATCGAATGTAAATAATGAGTTAATAGTGAATTAGTTTCATCAGAATCATAATTGACCTCATGAGAGAATTAATTTTTGCGTCGCAAACTGGACATCTAAAATGCCCCGAGGATGTTCAGCCAGCGCACCACATGCACCAGTAAATTAAAGTGTGCTGCATGTAATGCTCTTCCAGAAACTCAAGTTAACGTTTGAAAGTATTAAGCATAAAACATTCGGAAGAACAAAACAATGTTGCGGATAGCCTGGGATTTAGAACTTTGGGGAGAAGCTCAGACAACAGTAATGAACATAAATAAGCATGTGTGTGGACCGACTGGACATGAACCCAAGTGCACCGGCTGGGCATGAACCCAAGTGGACCGGCTGAACATGAACTCAAGTGGACCGGCTGGGCATGAACTCAAGTGGACCGGCTGGACATGAACCCAAGTGGACCGGCTAGACATGAACCCGAGTGGACCGGCTGGATGTCATCGGGGCCATCCATTTCAGCGACGCCGACGAAGCGCGACGAAGAAATTCATTTCGTAGCGAAAATGTATCATCGTACGTGAATATTTCGTTGCTAACGAACATGATACTAGTCGGGGATATCTGTATAGTAACAAGAGGAGAGGATATCTGGGTGGTAACAAGAGGGGAGGATATCTGGGTGGCAACAAGAGGCTCATAGTTCCTGACGTGTCTAACTTTATAATAATCCTCTCAAACGAGCTTCCGGTTAATTCAAGCTTAAGAAGACATCGGATCAGCAGCGTATGACTTAGAATGATTTTTTATGAATTATAACATAGGCACTGCAAGGCAAGCGCTCTCATTGTCACTGTCTAGCACCTGTCTCTTATACACATCTAGATGTGTATAAGAGACAGANACGCACTGTAAGTTGACACCATGCAAGAAGCTTGCATACGCGTGACATTTAACTCCGCTCTGCAAACCCGAATCAGCAAAATATACGTCACATGTCAGACTATACGTCAGTTTTAACCCTCTACCGCCGGGAACATAACTTTCAACTTAAATTATACTTAAACTATTGAGTGTACCAATCTGAGGACGTTTGTATGCAACAGAGAACATTTTATTAAGTATTCGTACGTGGCGGCAACAATCAGTGCAAGTCATTTTGCGCTCACTAGAACGTATCCTTTTTGGGAAGTAGGCGCGTGACAATATTGCTCAGGTTACTCATGTCAGGCGGTATAGGGTTAAACATATCTGGTCAGAAAGCCAGTCTCTAGATCTCCTGTGAAAAAGTCACAAAAATTACAGGAATTCTTCAGCGTTTACACTACCATACGATACAATATATAATACTATACCATACAAAATAACCATGCACAGGCGCACAATCGGCGGCCATTCATCTAGGGATAGTCGGCCGGCGATGAGGCGTCCTGGCAGGTCAATCATGCGCATGGCGCGCGGACGGAAGTGTGAGAGTACGAGTGACGCTCGCCGCCGTCATGTTCTTTGTGTCAGAGGAGATCCTTTTTAAAGTTGCCTTGCGTGTCCTATGCTTCCCCTCGAACATGGCCTCATTCAGCCGCCTCTCGCATCCACGACCTCACTTCATACAGGCCCCCTCTCTAGCCCCCTCAACAGCAGCAGATATTAAGGGATAAGTAAACTTTACAGAAATCCTCATTATATCCAGAATCCTATTTGCGTACATAAGGGGTATGCCACCACTCCGCTTCCGTAACGCAATGTCTGTACGTTTAAAATCGGTTAACAATTGCGTTTCTGATTGAAGAATAAAAGACTTGTAAGCACGTCCATGATGCATGTTCCCTTACCGTTGAAAATCATGTACAGACGAACAAAGTTAAAAAACATTCGATGTTCCCAAAGTCCACGCTGCTGCTCGTTCTATCCTAGGGGCACCAGAGAATGTTCCGTTCGCGCATAAGATATTGAGTTCTAGCTCCGCCGAGGAGTGGAACTGGAAATGCTATTTGATGTCAAAGAAATAAGAATATTAATGAGGAAGTAACGGTGCACGGGGCAGTACAGCGAGCAGTAGCNGCAGTACAGCACGCAGTAGCAGCGCACGTGGCAGTACAGCACGCAGAAGCAGTACACGTGGCAGTACAGCACGCAGTAGCAGTACACGTGGCAGTACAGCACGCAGTAGCAGTACACGTAGCAGTACAGCACGCAGTAGCAGCACACGTGGCAGTACTGCACGCAGTAGTTGCGGTGCTGACACTTGGAACGCGTGCAGTAGTTAGCCCGGCCACAGTTCCAGCCTCCTGGAATATCGAGGCAGGATTTGTCAATCGATATTTTAAAGAGACTCCGGCCAGCGCGCCGTGGAACAAAGGACGGGCGACACGCGCGCCACCTACGCGGCGCGTGCCGCAACTGCCGAGCCTTCCTCAGGCAGAGATTCTTCTCGAGCTCCTTGCTTCGAGAAAATAATTAGACTTTGTCCAAATAGCGATGCGCTTTGGCCATATGTGGGTTATTTTCACCCAGTTTGTCCCGGATAAAGGACGTATTAGTGCTAATGTTATAAGTTCACTGTTCGACGACATGGTAGTATGATGATTGTGGGGCTTTGTCTTCATGTAAAGTCTTTGTCTTTCATTTATTTTCATGTAAAGATTTACTATAACACCGCAAGAGCGGCTAGAACCTGCTCAAGCCAAAGACAAGATGCTATATAGAGGGAGAAGCGGGTACTTCCTCTTACAAAGAGCTAGGGCAAGAAACATAAAACTTACGGTAGAAACCGACAACTCGCAGTAAGTATTATAAATAAATGATATGTTGATTCCAGTAGCTACACGCAGCAAATATGTCACTATTTGGACAATACGACGCATCATTTTTTTGAGCGCACAATCAGAATCATGTTCGGTATGAGATTTCACGCGCGTTGAAGTGCAGCAATTATGGCTCTTGGTGCGGTTACTTTTCTCTACAGTGAACGCTCGACCTCATAGTCGAGGTCTCGAAATTTTCTGACAACAATAGTTTTTTTTTCGAAATTTGCTATAATGTCCGTGAAAGAATGTTGCCGATCGTCGTTACTGACGGGAAAATGCAACCAGCATAAAAGAAACAATTTAGGTTGGTGGCACCCGAGACGCTGTGACTTTCAAAAATTCTGTTCGGTGTTGGTAAATAATAAAGAACGGAGAAATATATGCTGATATAGCAACCATGCATGGAGTGACGAAGCTGCAGTGCCACAATGCTGCATGGAAACCAAGCTATTTCCGGCACACGCGTCCTTGTGTTCACTTCTGAACGCCGCGAGTCTTCCATTGTTTATTATCAATGGAAAGGCTAGCGTACATATATACTGCCCTGCCTGCGCACTCTTGGATAAGATGGGTGGCCTGCCATCAGAGACTGCCACGCACGCGCAGGCCGCAGCCTGCCATCAGAGACTGCCACGCACGCGCAGGCCGCAGCCTGCCATCAGAGACTGCCACGCAAGCGTAGGCCGCAGCCTGCCGTCAGAGACTGCCACGCACGCGCAGGCCGCAGCCTGCCGTCAGAGACTGTCGCGCCACGCAGCCTGCCGTCGACGTGTATAAGTGGAGGAAGGCCACTGCGGACAACTTTGCTTTTATATGCATAGGATTTGAAGCATGCCCCCCCCCACATTTGAGCATGGCCCCCTCCCCCCATATGAGTAATTCGTCCAGGGGCAAAAATTAGAAATTTTGATATACGGCAGAGAAGTAAATAAGCATATTTATACCGGTTAAAAAAATGCTAATTAAATATGGTGCACCTGAAGCTGAAATACAAGAAAAAATCATGAAAATTGCGAAACAGAAATAGTTACACAATAACGTGTTGGCAATAAAACGCATGCTGTATGCAAAACAAGTTATTTTTTGGTATGCGTTATCGTGCACAGAAAATTGGCAAAAGATACGCGGTCTTACAATAACTCCTCGCGAGCAGCTGCTAGCAGAACACGCACGAGGTTCAAAAGTTGGTAGGAGTATAGTTCTTCCTGAGGACTGAGGCCCGAAAGTTCTTCCTCCAGATGAAAAACGACCTCACTACAGCATGACTAGCAGGCACTAGAAAATGGTGAATCTAACACTTATATTCTGTGAAGTCTTAAAATATTTGCAGTACACGCCGGACATATCATTTATTCACAGGCTCTGAGTAGTTCAGAAACGAAATTCCACATCAGATGGAGTGGATACTTTGATCAATTTTTAATTTAGAGATTTTAATTGGCATAGTAATTCGCACTGCGAATGGTCTAGGGGGTTTAGCTTCCTCTGTGTACATTATTGCCAATAACTTTTAAGTGGTATAAAACAGTTTTATATAGTGTGGTTTTTCAAATGGTTTTCCTTGTACAATAAACGGCCGGAGTTTCCTGATGCAGCGGCACAGGCGTCGTGGAGCTGCATGAGGGCGCTGCTTCACGACTTCCTAAGGACGCGATATATTTCCCTCCTTCAGGATATATATTGTTTTCAATTGATATACATCAATTAAATACACAGCGGTGAAGTTTGATTTAAACGCACACTTCAATAAATGCAGTCGAGTTTATTTCCTGTAATAGCTTTCTTCAATTTCGAGCAAGGATTGTCTGATTTCAGTTGACTTTCATCTTATGTTAATATTGATATGGTTCTTCTTCATTGTGTTCAGTGCAAAATGTAAGAAAAATAATTATCGCGGGTTTGCAAATAATTGTCGTGAAAATGATAGAATTGGCCCGAGAATAGTACAGAATAGTAAATGAGCAGGTACATCAACACAGAAAAGAAAACGTATGTGACCATAGACCAGCAATGCCCGAAGGAGTCACACGTCATGGAAAGGCAGCACCGGGAGGCTTAGGACGCGCACTTAAGCGGTGAGTTAATACAACAAATTATTTTTGTTCTATTACAAAATAAAACAAAAATACTGAATACTTCGGACTGAAATTACAAGACCGAATATAACTTGTAAGTTGTACATAAGAGTGGACGAATGTTTGCAGTTCAATGCCTATAATCAAGGAATATGTTAACACTGTTGAAATTGTGAATAAAGTTTACGAGGCAGCTTGCAGGAGCTGAAAATATCTTAAGTGTGCATTGTTTACAATGATTTTTTTATGACGGACTTAATTACGTGTAGTAAATCCAGCACAATTGAGCGAAGTATCAATCGTGTATCATCACAATCGATACGCTCAGTACTGCGACTCAGCAAGCAGCCAATTGTAGAAACTTAAAATTATAGGAGGCTGTCACACGAATATTTCAGTATATTTCTACAATACTCACAGTGATTACATTTCAGTAAAATTTAACTCTTGCTAAGAAAAATTTTTATAATTAAATTATGGATAAATATAATTATGAACTTGGGTTTATATTCAAATAGAAATTAAACCTATATGTTGTATCGTAAGAACTTCATTAGACATTCATGTGATCTATTGACTTGCTACGACGATGAGTTATCTTGATGTGCAGGTTCTGGCAATTGACGAGCTTTTGCTTCGTCATCTCGGTGCTGGTCTTCGTCACAAGCAGCCCATATGATCAGACCTCGTCACGCGTCATGCAGACCAAGCAATTCAACTCGTCATGTTCATGTCAATCGCTGTTCACAATTGGCGCTTGCGGTCTGTCTCAGTATTATAACAACAGGAGCCTACCAGAATCATACAGGCTTATTTTTAAGGAAATAGAAACCAAGCGAAATGGAGACCCAAGTTTCATCGCCAACCCTTTGAAAAGTTTGTCAAGGTTGTTGCCCAAGATGTGGTACTTTGATTTTAAAAATACGAATAAATATTTGCGCGAAAACGTGCTGGAGGATGCAACTTACACCGCGAAAATGCGTGAAACAATTAATTCTATGTCTTATATTCCATGTAACGTGCATTTTTATTCTCCGAAAGAAATAAATGCTTGTCTAACCAAGAGAAAGGAAATGACAGGACGCATATTAAAAATCGCCTTCGTAGGCGATTCACAAGTACGTAACCTTTTAGAACAAATGATAATGTTTCTCAGAGTTGAGCTGAACCTTCGGGCAGGCAATAGCAAGGGCTTCAACCTGACAACGGATTTCCTCAACCAGAAATACAAGGACGACCTGCCAATCGAAGGCGAGGGCATCCAACTTCGCATGTACTGGTCGACGTTCCTGGCGAGGAACCGCGATCCCTCCATCTCCAAGCAGGGCGCCAAGGACCTCCTGCAAACCTGGGCCCAGAACAGAACCTCGGCCAAGGGGGAAGAAGTACCGGATATTCTTTACTTTAACGACGGCATGTGGGGTCCCGGAGAAACTTCCGAATGGGGAGCGATCTCGGTGGTGGAAGACGATTTCGATAAGCTGAAACCCTATCTGCAAAACATTTCAAGAACTACCAGACTGATATTAAGAACTCAGACGCCGTTGAAGAAGTGGGTAGCCAAACAAAATGTAGCGAACTCTGCTTTGGATATGATGAATCAGTTGGCGTGGCTCACTCTGCGCGACACCGACATCTGGATCTGGGACACCATCACGCCGGTGTATTTGCGGCACAGGGCGGACTGTAAGGCCTACTGGAACACAGGGCTAGGAGGCCGCTTGCCTCCTGAGTGGGCCTGTGGAGACTTCCAGCACCCGAGCAAACTCAGCGAGACGATAGCGGGCAACATGATCTGGAACTACGTCTGCAACGGCGTCATGAGGTTTGATCAGCAACACTGCTGTGTCTGACGGCTTATTTCGTGTTCATATAACGATGTATCATTTGAAATGTAAATAAACAATGACACTGATGATGTATTCAAGTAAATAAATTATAATACAAGTAATTTTAAATCGATGAAGTTACCTCTGGAACGTTAAACGAGCTTTCTTACATGCTTGGTGCGTGGCAATAACGATCTGCTACTAACGATCTTATTTACAGCTCGTCTCGGTGTTGATTGGACACTTCGCATACATAGGCTAACAGACTGACTTTGACCAGTGATTGGGTAAGGTGGCATAAGATTAAAGATATAGCAAGAAGACGCAATCAAAGGTGCTGGCCATAGTCACCCCAGTTGCCAGTCCCCTTTACTGCCGGCAACCCTTTTCAGTGTGCGCCACAACCCCCCTGTTTCCGGGAACAGAATAGCATTCAATACTCGGTATGCACTAGTCTCCTGTTGCCGGTATGAGAATATCATTCCCTGCTGAACACAGCGATCCTAAATGATACGATCCTACACAGCGATCCTGAGCTACTTGTACTAGCCCAACTGGGCACATGTTTTTTCATTTTCTGCAGCAACTTCATTACAAAGGGAGAAATCCTCAATCGGAGCAAAGTTAGTTGATATGTCCTACCTTGAAATCAATGTTCAGTGCTGATATTACACCATAGAATAATAAATAAATCAAAATTGGATACGTGTTGCAACACCCAACCAAGTAATTTTGCAATATGGAATAAATAGCTGAAAGCACGACATAAAACTCAGTTAAACAATAGACCAGAGTGAACGAGGAGTGAGAGAGCAGTAGCACGCCGCAATCACGATTGTATTTAATGGCCTTTATTCACAAGAGAATGCATGCGGCACCTGCACCACAAAGCACAGCATCACAGCTGTGTTACAACGCAATTACGTCATTACAACGAAGCTGCATGCATCGCAGCAACGGTCATAGCTGAGTTTAAGTTGCAGGAAGCAACAACGTCATGTCTGCGCGCTAACAAAGAAAAATTGGTGAAAGGCAACTGGGGGACACTAGTACCTAAATCGCGTATACGAGACGTCGCCCGCAGCACGAGAGACAGGGCAGGGAAGAGCTAAGTATTCTGCCTACAACAGAAGCCCACAATCGAGCCCCAGTAATACTCCGTGAGCTTAGTGGTGGAAAAGCTAATTGAAATTTAAAATGTGCGATGACCCTAGGAATACGAAATCATATTAGTTGCATTTTTCCATGTTTAAAGTTTCTGAAGCAGAAATACGCTGCAACGTCTATCAATAGAAACATTTCAGTTTGCATCGCTGCGATTAATAGAACGGATATGTTAAATCATGCATGATCAGGAGAACACATGTTTATTAAGAAACTGAAATTCAAGTCGATTTTAAAAATTAAGCTTGCCACACAAGCAAGACATAACTAGCGGAACCACATAGAAGGCAAATAAAACTAGTAGGGAGTGGGTGGAATTTACAGGGATTGAGGTAGCGAGATGGAGTCTCTCGCAGATCAGCATCTCTCCTCCAAGTAATACCAGTACGACTTCTTAGGAACGCGGTGCTCCTGTATGCCCATGGCCTCCATGATCTGCATCTGGAACGTCCCGTGTGCTGGTGTGAACGTCACCCTGTGTGTAAATAATAAAATACACTTCAAAGCACATAACACGAGTAAACATAGAGCAGCAGATCTAACTGGTATAGGTACTTAGTATCAGTTTTATATAAAACAGAGACTATTATTTTCTACAGAAATATGTACTCCGCTCGTCAGAAAACTTCAAAATGTCCATGAAACCTTCTAGAATAAATCTCAGGAGTTACCAATCGTGAGTGTTTATATAAGAGAGTTTGTATATTTAGGGTAGAGTTCTTCATTTAAACATGTTTGGTTAAAAATAATGCCAGTTTTATTAAGGACATCTTTTGAGTTTAATCTCTCAAGCTTTCGGATAACACACGCCATGGACAACCACAACACCAAATTAACCCGGGAAGAATTGGTACAAAATACAAAAATCCTTCGTCACGAACCTGACTACAACAGACTACAAATAATGGAAGCAATTCTAATCCAACGGAAAAAGCCATACCTAAACAACCAAACGACTGGATCCGAACGCACTTTGAAACTTCATAACTAGAACAAGTGTACAACCGACTGTATAAAAAACCTTACTCGTGGCCTCGTTCACTACCTACACTAGTCTTCTCTCTGCAGCCAACCCGCAAGCAACTCGTCTACTCAGCTGCTCGACCTCGTTGCCTGAAGATACTCAGTGATGAGCGAAACGCGTCGCAGGATTTACCTAACCTTCCATTTGGACAAATTTTAAGACTTATTGACCCTGTTACTGTACCTCTTATCAGAAAGCTTGAGAGATTAAACTCAAAAGATGTCCTCAATAAAACTAGCATTATTTATAACCAAACATAAGAGATTTTGTATCCCAGCTAAATATTACAGCCCATAATAGATGGGACATTTTCATTGTCACGTGTTACACAGACGTGATGTTTTAATTGATCTGTAAAGACAAGCAGTGAACTTGGAAATCCAAACAGATAATTGTAGGTAAACTCTCAGGCAAGATGGAGATATTGTAACAAAACAAGAGACGTGTTGACATAATGCAAACCTGGACACTTTGCAGTCATAGACAAAACTATCAAGAATGCATACAAGATTCACCTAAACCAAATATTAACTAGCATAGAATTTGTCAGAGTTGTCAGCTCATGAGCGACTGACTAGCTGCTCAGAATTTGTCAGAGTTGTCAGCTCATGTGAAAGATCATTCTTCTATAAATTACGTGAATGAAAAAGTGGACATTTTTTCTATTCCTTTAAAAGAAACTTTTCTCTTTACGTCACAAAGAGTTCATAACTTCGCTTTTCAAATCCATACCTCAGAGCTGTTAAAATCCATGTTCAGATTTATTTAAAATAACTATATCATTTAAGCGCAGTACATGTCAATGGCGACAATTCGATGCATCGCTCAAGTTCATCACAAATTTATCTTTGAAACAAAATGTGTATGCTTCACTTATGAGCGCGTTATTAAATCCATATTCCACGAATATTCACGAACGCACGAGAAAGTGCGCTGACCATCATACAATAATTAGAGAAATTATAGGCTTTAAAATCTATCCAGGGATTCATGGTGGATATGCAAACGGGCCTCGAGATATTTATAAAGAACCACTGATTCCTAGTGTCTCTAGACACCAAATTCTGATTCTCTACGAAGGAACTCAAGGCTGACATCAGTCCGCTTTAACTTACGCTGGACATTATGACAAATTTCAACATTCTTCCACTGAAGATATAGAAAACGAGCATTTAATGAGCAGCAAAAATATATATCTTCAGAGAGACAGCCGCTAGTTGCAACTAAAGTGTATAAGCATGAGGCCCACATAGCGAGGTCGGCCTCGACGGTGTCCTTTGGCTGCTCCTTGTAGACGGACTTGGTCTTGTAGTCGACAACCAAAGTATATAAGCATGAGGCCCACATAGCGAGGTCGGCCTCGACGGTGTCCTTTGGCTGCTCCTTGTAGACGGACTTGGTCTTGTAGTCGACGGTCTCCTCGTCCATGATGGGGATGGGGATGACGCGCTCACTCCGCAGCGACACCCGCACCCGCTCACCCTGCTCCGTGTAGCGCCACTCGATCTGCAACACCACCAGTGTTATGGGTTATAGACATATGCAACACCGCGTGTTATGTATTAGGTACAGTGTTGCGTCGTTAGGTACATCTGCAACACCGCGTGTTATGGGTTAAAGTGTAGCGCCACTCGATCTGCAACACCGCGAGCGTTATGGGTTGCAGACATCTGTAACACCACCAGTGTTATGGGTTAGAGACATCTGTAACACCGCGTGTTATGTGTTACAGTGTTGCGTCGTTAGGTACATCTGCAACACCGCGCGTTATGAGTTACAGTGTTGCGCTACTCGATCTGCAACACCACGAGTGTTATGGGTTACAGTGTAGCGCCACTCGATCTGTAACACCGCGAGTGTTATGGGTTACAGTGTTGCGCCGATTGATCTGTAACACCACTGTAACACCGCGAGTGTTATGGGTTACAGTGTTGCGCCATTTGATCTGTAACACCACGAGTGTTATGGGTTACAGTGTCGCACCACAAGCAACACTGAGTCACGAACTGCGTAACAGTGCGCTTAGTTGCATCTCAGGTGCAAAATATAAGCTCAAGACCTGCGTTACTTGGTAAGAATTAACACCTTTGTTGGTTTCTTGTCAGAGGGATCGACGAGTGCCACATCGCGCGTCACAAGCAAGGGCTTCTCCACCTTCACCAGCATGCCAGGATAGTCCCTGCAACACGAAGCTTCTTTATAACAATTATTTTATAGATATTGTTGAGCAGACAATGTTGCAGTTCATGGCGGCAGAATCTATTTTGAATGAAGGAGGCAGCGCAATGGATATAGAATTCATGGATCAACAGAAAATTCACTAAAAAATTTGCAAAGATGTAAAAAATATAAGCCAATTTGTGTTAGAATGAAAATTTATCATAAATTTTTTATCAAACATAAAATTAAGTGATGTAAATTTTATTAATGCATGCTATATTGCCTGAACAATACTTACTTCAATTTTCCTTTAACTTCAAATTTGCAATTCAACCCTTCAACAAAGACCCAATTTCTTTCTTCGACTATGTAGTTGATGAGGCCTTGCTTGCCCTTGTCTTTGCCAATGAGAACTTCTACTAGGTCTCCTCTGGGAACAGAAATTGGCAGTTCAATGACACATGAAAAAAAAAACAAGTAAAACAACATCCAATACACTAATAAACAGTACACAAATAAAATGAAGAAAAGTGCTCATGATAATACATGTACATCAGAAGCATGAAAAATATATCAATGCATCTATTAATATTTTTTACTTGAAGAACGACCAGTCTTTGATGGGCTCAACCAGAACTTCAGCCTTATAAGAACCAGGCGCATTGTCCTTGAAGAACTCGTATGTCCAAGGGCGATGTTCTCCAAAGTAGAACCTGTGTCGTTTGATGACTTTTCCTTTGACATACTGAGGACCGTGGTCAGGGTTTTGCCATTCAATCTAGGGTAACAAAGTGATAAAATTGCAATTATTGAATCATACAATTATTATGATTGAGGTACATACATATGTTAAACCTGTAGAAATGTAATCAAGTTGCAAAATAATCATGAAAAATCATTAAGTATATTTTTATGATTGTAGTTATTTTTTTATGACCATATAATAACAACAATAAATCATTATTAAATAAAATGAGGAACACACTAAAAAATATTTTGTAATCAACAAAATTTAATTTATAGTGCTAATAGCAAAATGGCCAGGGAACTCTAAAGAGGAAATAAAAATCTGCCATCCCGGTCATGCAAATCCTGAGCTAGGTACCTTAATTCACTGCATATCATTTTAATCATGAATTTATTTTAAAAATACCTGATCCATGGCTCTCTCAATGTAGCTTTCAGGGAGATTTGAATATTTTTTTGTGGATTTGGACACCTGAGGAACACATCTCATCACACATGTGAGTCTCATTATGAGTTATTTAATCTGAAGAGAACTCTGCCAAGAAAAGCAAAAATATAATTTAATATATTGGATGTATAACAGCATAATAACTGGTTTATCTTATTTGATACTCGTTGCATGAGATGCTTGCAGAAGACTCTGATAAAAATCTAGAAAACTTTGGTTGACTGAACTACTCATTCATCAAGGACTGATAAATTTTCAGAGTTGTATCCTGACTTGGCTTGAGGTACCATATGTTAAGATTGAAAGTGCCACTAAAATTTGCATTTTATACTGAATTTGAAAAACATAGGCCTACCATGTTGGTTAATTTCCATCAATAGACTTGAGAGGATTAGAGTGATCTCCTAACAATGAAAATCTTGTAAATTCTTGAGATAAGGATGATTTTTCAAGTCAATAATTCCTAAATCAATTTGAATTAGTCAAATATTATCGTTAATTCATTTTTTATGCAGATTTCATGCATAAAAAGAACCTAAAACAAATAATAAACTTTTTAAACAATCAACTTCTTAGGATTTAACAATTAAGATTACTTGATTGCTTAAATTGCAAGTTTATCAATAATTTAAAAGCAAAGAAAACAGTCAGAAATTCACCATTTCTTCTGAAACAAAACATTTTGGAGTCTACCTCCATCATCAGTTAAAAAACCTAAAACACAAGTACAAACAATTAGCAAACTAAAATTCACATTGAAGATATTAAAAGATAAATTGCCATATATAAACAAATATAAATGAGGTAAACATAAGCACGACATTCAGAATTTTCTGACCATTTTCTTTGCTTCTAAATTCTGGTATTAAGATTTGTACAATCTGAGTTTATCCTGGATCTGAGCTTGTTCATTGTCAGGAATATTCTGTGCATAAAAAGAAGTCCTATAGAAGACTCTTTATATATATATATTTTTTCTGTTCAAGAAATTGGAATTGACTGACCACTCAGTAACTTTTACTAAAATATGAGAAATTAAATGTTAATGAATGTCAAATGAGAACACTTAAAGTCTCAAACTGCATCCTGCAAGATTGCCATTTTCCAAGGCTTAACCCTTTACAGCCAAATCGAACTTTCAAGTTGCCTTTAAAAAACAATCAGTTTTCTAATAATTTCATGTTTTCTTTCATTTTTTTCGAAAAATTCACACGAATAAAAAAAAGTCTTTGATTTATTTTTTACATATGTGTACCAAGTTTCAAAGTTATCCATCTGTAAATAACCGAATTAAAATTTCCAATGGCAATTTCCAATTTCTTGTGAAAATTTTATTTCGGTTATTTACGGACGGATCACTTTGAAACGTGGTACACATATGTAAAAGATAAATCTAAGACTTTTTTGTTCGTGTAAATTTTTTGAAAAAAGTGAAAGAAAACGTGAAATTCTTAGAAAACTGCCAAAAAAGGGGTAATGTAGAAATCTATCTCCTCCTAGGATTTTCAAGCTACAACATCGAGACGCATATCATTCAATGCGCAAGGACCATATCTATCGATTGGTCCTTGCCATTTTTCAAAATTCTAATTTTTGTGGATGGAGCGGGCATTTTTTGAAAAAATTTGATTTCTCCTCCCCACCCTTTCAAGTTACCCTCCCTTTTTTTCAAAATATTTTCAAAACTATAACGAAATTGAATAAAAGCTACGACCAATATCTAGATCTTCTATTTGCAAATCGAACGGTATATTTTTCATTGCTGTAGCTTAAAAACTCTAGGAGATAGGTTTGCAGTGATAATAAGTGTGAATGTTCAGTAGACGGGGACTGTGCGTACTCTACTGTCAGTAGAGCACAACACAGTCCCAATTGCCTCAAAATAGGCATTCAAGGTGGCTTGGATACAAGACTAAATTTTACTGGAGCTGAAATTCAGTCAACGATGGTGGGCGTGGGAACGACTGCATGAGCACCATCCCATACAACAGCAGCCGGGTAAGTAAAGATCAGCAATTTCAGGTTGTCTATTTATGTGCCCGGCCGGTAATTTTTTCCTATATTAAATGTGGAAGAACTCCCCCACCCCTAACCCTTTCGCGAACTGTCAGTCTGTCACCAAGGCATAAATCAACGTACAGAGATGAATTTAGTACCCTTGGATAGGTCAGAATGTCAGCTTTAACCATTTAGCAGGCAAGCATTGAAATATCCAGAAATTAAAATTTCAGAAACCATTTCAAGAAAGTAAGAAGTATTATACAATATATTTATTTATATGAATTTTTGCAAATTTTGCCTTTTGAAGGTTTAAATTGCATTTGAAGAATTCAATAAATATGATCAGTACACAAAATTTTTCTTTTTAGTTAAAATTCAGTTTATGAAAATGAAAAATTAGAAACATAAAAATTTATATTTAATTAAATTTAATCAAGTTGCCAAAATAAATATATATATATTGATACTTCCAAATTTTGAAGAAAATGTGGAAAGAGCGTCAATTCCATTGTCCGAGTCAAAACCTTCATTTAAATGCTCATATTTCAATTTGTGGACTTTGCAGCTGGTGATGCTATAGATAGAACAATGCTCAGATAATTAGTGATTAAATGAGGCATTATAAGGATGCCTCAAAAACAAACAGGAAGCCGTGGTGAGGCTTTTTGTGACGTGATTTCAAGTGATCATATATGGTAACTTACCCGTGAAAGGGTTAAGGTGAGACTAAAAACCAAAAAAGTGAAATTTATGATTTTTGTCCCAGAAATTCGGGCGGTAAAGGGTTAAGGCTAAGTTATCAAAATTCAAAAATGTGCCACAAGATTTAGGAATTCTGCTATTTGGGATCCATGAAGCTCTAGGTAGTGTTTTATCAGAAATTTCCAACCTTGCTGAAATTTGTAAAATAATTTTTTATATAATTTTGTTTTTTTCCATTATATTTTTTATGAAAAGAAAAATTTGCGTACATACCTAAAACCTACTTACTACTGCTCTCTGGCCTGTGCTTCTGCTATTAGGCACTTATTGCATTACCTAACCTAGTGTCTAGTACTCTAATGACTACTGACTAGTTAGTGCTCAGTAGTCAATCACTCTGTATAGGCTACCTACTGTACTGTAAGTATAGTAAAACTATAACCTTTGACAGTTTGACTAGCTGCAATGCCACCACTGGGATTATGGGATAGATAATCTACTTTTTGAGCAAGAACTGGAGCTTTCTTGCCATTTCTGGAACCTCAAAAATCAAAATATCTGCAAGATGAATTATTTCCTATAAGACAAAGACACAAACTGACAAAGTCATGACTCATGAGTCAAGAGAGTGAGAGTCCTATCTAATTGTGACTTTGTAGTTTGTAAGCACTGAGCAAAAGTGCATAATTGGGCAACAAAATTCCAAATGTATTAAAAATAGGGTAAATGCGGTATATTCCGACACATTAAGGACGCATCGAGATATGAAAAACTATAAAAAAATAACCGTATGCGTTACTCGAGTTCTGTTTGCTTTATGTGACTCGCAAAACACCGTACTACGCGCCAGCAACAATGAAACGTCACAAAATGTTGCCATATTTATTTAAAAGCCTTTAGAATGCAAACCTACCAAATCCCTATATTCCGACACTGTGTGTGGCAATATTCGGCACGTGGTGAGGC